AGCAGAGGTGGTGGTGAAGGCTTCTGGGAGTTGTAGTCCAAGAACATCTGGAGGCCCAAGGTTGGGGACCACTGCCATAGTGGACATAGAATTCCACTAATACCTATTATTCCATTTGCTTTTTCACTGAAGACAGTGCATAATCTTATTTTACATGTTGAACAGCTGGATAGCTCAGTGGCTTAGGCATTTGGCTGCAAAGCCAGAGGTTGGGAGTTCGATTCCCCACTGTGCTTCCTTGAAAGGGGCTGAACTCCATGATTCATAGTATCTAAAGATGGGGGTATTCATATTCATAAATGAATATGAATATTCCTGTCCCAGCTGCACCTGGTCTGGGTCCAGTCCCCAGAACCGGCCCATCCACTCACACATTCCGGCACTGTGAAGGCCCTGCTCTTCCTGCCAATTGCAGCAGTAGCTCCACTGTCTCCCTGCTCGGATGGCCACTCGGCAGCCGTGTGGGGAAACTCGTCTTCCCATCCCTTGCCTGGAGTGGCCAGCTCTGCTGGGAGACACATGAATGGACGGGCCAGTTCCGGGGGCTGGACCCTCATTAGGTGCAGCTGGGACAGAATACGAATATCCGCCTCTCTAATAGGGTTGCTTCTAGCCATATTGTTGTGGGTGCCCCATCACTAGAGGTTTTCAAGAAAAGAATGGACAGCCCTCTGTCCGGGACGGTATGAGGTCTCCTGCCTTTGGCAGGGGGTTGGACTAGAACAGTGGTTCTTAACCTTTGTTACTCGGATGTTTTTGAACTGCAACTCCCAGAAACCCCAGCCAGCACAGTTGGTGGTGAAGGCTTCTGGGAGTTGCAGTCCAAAACTCCTGAGTAACCCAAGGTTAAGAACCAGTGGACTAGAAGACCTCCAGGGTCCCTTCCAGCCCTACCACGATTCTATGATACATTTATGGGATCATTGTATTATTATGTAGGAGGTTTTTAAATAGATTGCAAAGAATCTATTTAGGATTTATTGTATGACGTGATGATATTTGTAACTACTGCTGATCTACATGTAGAAGTGTGCATTCATTCTTATTAAGATAAGAAATGAAAAACAAAAAACAACCCAAATGGAAATTGCTGTGGCTACTTCACCTCCAGACCTATCTAGAAGGCTGGGCTGGACTTACAGAGTCTCTAGCCATGCAGCGCTCTTGGTCACATACATGTACAAGTCTGCCAGTAGTTGGTTTTCTAGGCTACAAGGCATGGCAGACGTAGCTTTGTGTGGGGCATTTGAAATAACATGCTGTGTCCAGTGGCACAGCCTAGACACTAGAGTAGCCTTTCCAAACCAAATGAGGTGATGTTGGTTGTCATCTAACACACCAGAGAGGTACCAGGCTGGTGTGTCAGACAACATAAAAGTTACTCTATAACCACTGACATTGGTTTTCTCAGAAAATGACACATCTGCTGAAGGGTGTTAGATTCAAAGCTTGAGAAAGTGACTTTTTCAGCGTTACAATGCCCAGCTGGGATTTTTTAAAGAGTTGTAAACCAAATAAAAAGCTACTTTTCCAAACTCGGGGTGCACTGGCTGGCCTGGGAAGAGAAACGAAGTGTGTTTTGTGGCTTCCTTGCGAGCAGCCCAATGAGCAAGGGCAGTTGCTTGGTTTCTCTGCGAATCTTGCCAGCGCATGGGTTCAGCTTTCACAGTGGAAGCCTCTAATGATAATCAGGGAGGTTGTGTGCTCCCGCCTCTCGAAACCACTCGACCTTGCTCGTATTTTAGGAGTGCTTTTTAAATCATCAGCTAATGGCCCTTATGCTCGTGCTTAAGAAGCCTTTAACTGCAGGATGCTCATTATAAACAGGGCATATCAAAAACTTGCCAGAGAACCTTGAGCTTTTAAATTTGGGTGCTTCTGAAGCATATTGGCACAATACGTTGCCTTCTCTTCCACCCCCTCCCCCTGACTCCCTTTCTCCCTTTTTTTCTGAAGGCTGAAAGGCAGGAGGAAGCAAGACAAGTGAAGCAACAGCAAGTTTGATCTTAATCTTGGGCTGATTTGCTTAAATAACTGGAAATCGAAACCTGCCTTGCCAGTGAATTTCCAGCTTAGGCTTCCCATCCTTATTCTCCCCTTCTCTTAACGTTGGCTTGGGTGCTCTGGTGCCCATCTGCTAGTGGTAACTAGAGGGATAATTGAGGGCTCGCGACCAAGAGAGGCCTGCCAATGCCATCTGTTATCTTAGTGACTCAGGAGTGGGCGGTGTGTGTATGTACGTGCCATTTTCTTTAGGAACAACGCTTCCTTTTTCCTCCTGAAAAAGAGAGAGAAATTATGGGGACGAGGTGGGTTCATAAGAAACAGCTGCTTTGGAAAGTCAGTACAGAACGCCTTCATCTGCTTCACACTTCCTGTTGGTTGAAGGGAAAAAAATAAGACTTGAGAGTATCAGGTTTCCAGTGAAGGGGGATGTTTGGGCTTTTCCTGGCTTATCTCCAAGATGCTGGCTATCTGCGCAAAAGACCTGACTCTCAAACCATCCAGACGTCTCACCCTGACTGCATTGTTGAAGACCTTTACCTGCTATCTTAGTTTTCCTTCCTCCCTTCCTTTTTTGTTGAGGTCAAACAAGGTCACACATGCCTTGCTGTTTTCTTAATATATTTGCTATGGGGAAGAACCCTTGTCGTAGCAATAATTATAACAGGCTAGAGGTTTTCTTACTTTGGCAACTATATAGAATGCAAAGGCTGTCAGCTATAAGTTTCCAGTCTGAAACTATTTTACTGCCATCCTGGTCTATAAGAAACTACAACTCTTTGTCAACAGATGGTTCATATTTGACTAGAAGGTTGTTTGTATTAAGGAAAAAGTGCAGTGGAGCTAGGGTAGAATAAGGATGTTGTTGTTGTTTTTTGTCCTCTTTGAGCCTGAGAGCCAGGTTTAATTTCATGGACGTTCTCAGAGCTGGGTAATACTGAAAGCAAAAGGATGAGATCCAGAGTATCAGTCACTTGACTTACTTACAGTAAGCAAGCACAGTGGGGTCTCGACTTAACGAACGGTTCTACATACGAACTTTTCGACTTACGAACCCGCTCAATAGGAAATTACATACTCAACATACGAACTTCCCTCGAGTTACGAACAGGAAAAAAGTGCCCCCTCCCTCCCCTTAGAGGCTTCTGGAGGGGGGAAAAAGGTCAGAAACTTAAAAATAAATAAAAGAAAGTCACTTACCAGGCCTTGGTAGCCCCTGAACTGCAGGAAAAAGAGAAGCAAACAGATAAAAGCCGACACCCAGAAGGGAGCCTGGCAGCCATTTTGTGCTTTTCTCTGCTCCTGTCCCCTCCTCTACCCGCCTAACAGCTGATGGGCTGACTCTGAAGAAGCTTGGGGAGGCTTGCTCAGCACCTAAAAAGCCTGCCTGTGTATCTGTGTGCTGAAAAAATCAGCACAACATGCTTTAAAACATGCTTTAAAATTGGCTTCGTTGAAAAAAGATTTCAAAAGTGCTTTTAAAACTGTTCCCTGCCTCCCCCCTCCTTTCCTGAACATTTCTTGACCTAAGAAAAAAAGAAAAAATATCCCCCTCTAGTGGCAGAAGGTGGAATAGCAGCTTCCCATTAGTTTCTATGGACGGGAAAGAGCAGATACGGATTAAATGGTATTCAATGGATTCCTATGGGAAATGCAGATTCGACATACGAACTTTTCGACCTACGAACTGCCTTCCAATGTGGATTAAGTTCGTAAGTTGAGATCCCACTGCATTACAAGAGGCATATCAACCTTTTAGAATAGGGCAGGAGGGGAGCATGAAAATCTGGAAAACCAGCAAACAAAGGTGTCATAGGGAAAGGTGGACAGCTAAGCAGGGGAATCCCATAAAAACATCTTGAGGCCGCAGCTGGGCTGGATTTTGGCCCCATTGCTGAGTTTCCTCATCTGAGATCGTACAGCGTGCTTCCATTTGGAAAATGTAGAGATACTTTCCACTGTTGCATCTACTGTATAGGCCAGCATTAAAATGCCTTTTATAACCATTCCTTTAACTGAGAAACTCTTGTCACAGGAAGTAAAGAAGCAAAACATCCTCCTTGACGGCCAGTCTGCACAACAATTGCAAGAAATTGGCCAGTTAAAAGATGAACTCTGCATAGCCAAGCAGCTTCTGCAGCAAAGTCAACATTTTGCAGAAGATATGAAAAGTGAGTAATATTTTAAAAATCATGTTGAATCACAATTCCAAACTATTCTTCAGTATCAGGTTATTGTGTAAACTGTGTGCAGTCCAGTTTGATTTGTGTGCTCTTGAGTTTCTTGGCGTGTGGTTTTCAGACAGTGATATGGAAAATACAGATAATTGGTGAAAACGTGAATCCTATTCTACATAGTCAGGGATATAGATTAGATTAGGATGGGTCTCTGTGAGCTTCTTCAGGTCAAGCACATTTAAGTCCAACAGCAGAGGACTGTAACGTCTGGAAGGCTGCGGAGGGTGACTTGCTGCCCTTATTTTTCCCTAGTGTTTTTCTTTGTCCCTTTCTAAAGGAACCTGAAGTGGAGGTCCTTTGTACCCCAGGGGGTAGGAATGCATAATCAGAAATGACATGAGGCTGCTTTACAATATACTGGTAAAGCCTCTTGCCTTGTATAATGAGCTTACTCTTCAAAGTGTAAGGTTTTGGATATTAAATTAGAACTCAAGAGAGAGCATGGTTCGAATTGCCATTTGGGTCTTCAGTTCCCAGTTTGACTTGATCTAAGCTTAAGAGGGCAAATTACCTCTCTCAGCAAAATTTATTTTCATAGATATGTTGTGAGTAGAGGTGGGGATATATGAATATGAATATCGCCCAACACAGCTGGACCTACTAAGAGTCTGGCACCTGGAGGACTGGAACGTCCACTCCCATATCTTGCCGCGGCAAGGGTCCTGCTCATCCTGCCAGTGGTAGCTGGAGCTCCACTCTCTTCCTGCTTGGCTGGCCACTCCAAGCAGGGGGCAGGAAGATGAAGGATGAGCGGGACCGAGACGGCAACATGTGAGTGGACAGTCCAGTCCTGGGGGCTCGACCCTCATTACGAATGTCCCCGTCTCTAGTTATGAGGATAAAAATGAGCAGAAACACAAAGTACATCACTCTGAATCCCTCAGAGGAAAGGAGAGAATATAAATATGTCAAAGAAAGAAAAATCCAGGCAAGACTAAAGCTAGCTAGCAGCATGGGTTAATTTTAATTTTAATTTGCATTAATTTCCAGTTTTTCTGTAATTTATATAAAGAGTTTTGAAACATTGTAATCCTGCATTTATCTTAAGATGACTAAACCCTTTTCTCTTATTGGACTATATTGATGCCCAGAATATTACTGGTATTCATGTAAGATTTACTTAGCTTTCGGTAGCCAAATGTGGCGGGGCCTGTGTGTGGCAGAACATCTTCGTTGTGTGCCTGTCATTTGCAGTATTGTGCAACTGAGAATATGGTCCAGCATCTCATCAGTTAGCTGAGGCAAGCTATGCAGGCCTTATAAAAACACCAGTAAATTTCCAGCTGTTAAGTTTGATTTTTCTTTCCAAATATGATCAATATTGAGTCAGTGTATATGGTGAGCCAGTTAGGGTATACCCCACTGTGGGAAAGTCTAATACAGTGGTGCCTCGCATAACGAGCGCACCATTTAATGATGAATCCGCATACCGATGCGGATTTTGCGATCGCTAATGCGATCGCATACTGATGTTTCTTCGCATTGCAAGGGGGAACAGCTGTCCGGCGGTTCGAAAATGGCCGCCGGAACACCCAAAATGGCCGCCGGAACCCCCCAAAATGGCCGCCGGAACCACCCAAAATGGCCGCCAGAACATGGGGAAACATCACAGAACGGTGAGTCTTGGGCCCATTTGGAAAAACCCAATGGGTTTTTTTGATCCGTATAGCGATGTTTCCCCATAGTGAAGGTTAATCCGGAACGGATTAACCTCGCTATGCGGTGCACCACTGTATATATAAATGCAACTAATGACCAAAAATATAAATTAACGTAATGGGGGGAAAGAGTCATTTGACAGGTGCTGAGAAATTAGTATACCCCCCCCCCCCAAAAAAAGGCATAATGTTGGAAGTTCTTGGAAGCACTATTGAAATAGTTTGCTTGCGTAACGGTGATTCCTAGAGAGTGGCAACAACTTGTCCCTTTGTAGCTTTGAGTAGACTAAGCCAGCCCTTTACCTCTCTGAAAGTGTGCACTTGAAAGTACTTGGAACTGGCACTCGGTAGATCTTTATACTGAAAGTGGAACCATTCTCAGCAGTGGGAATGGAAAAAATACGTATGTATTATGGGCACAGGCAGCAAGAATGCAATGGGTGAGTATCACATGGTTAAATTGATTGTTTCTGAGTACAGTAGTGATTTAAATCGAAGCAAATGAGATCCACTCCCAATCAAATCATAGTTTGTCAATGCATCCATACTAGCAGCTCCAGGGGGGTCCTGGATGAGATGGATTATCGAGCTCTATTTCAGTCTGGCTTCAAGCTTGGTTATAGGCAATGTTCCCTCTAAGTTTCTCTCCCACTGCGCAGGAACCTCTATCTGTGCAGGGGTGGGTGGGGCTTCATTGGAAGGGGGTAAAGAAGCCGACTGGCTGTGCACAATCCCGACAGAGCTCTGGCCAAGCCCGCACGCAGCTTAGAAAGAACATTGGTTATAGGACTGAGACTGCTTTGGTTGCCTGGGTGGATTACCTACACCAAGAACTAAACAGGGTGATTGCGTCCCTGCTGGTTCTGCTGGACCTCTCAGGGACTTTCAGTACCATTGACCATGGTATCCTTCTGGGTTGTTTCGCTGGGAGGGGACTTGGACGCACTGTTCTATGATGGTGCTGTTGGTCCTCCTGGACTTGCTGCTGAGGGACTCCAGTTCAACACCCTGGCTGTTGGCCTGTGGTGTCCCTCGGGATTCTGTTTTGTCCCCTATGCTGTTTACCATATACATGAAACTGCTGGGAGAGGTTGTCTGGAGTTTGGGAGTTCAGTGTCACCAGTATGCAGATGACACCCAACTTTATCTCTCCATGCCATCTAAATCTGAGGAACCTGACACTCTAGATCAGTGTCTAGTGTCAGTAATGGACTGGATTAGAATGAATAACATCGGCATCATCATAGGCATCCTTCAGTCTCGAAAGACTATGGTAACATGCTCTGTATGGAAGACTTGGAACAGCGTCTAATGTGGCTTGACGTTTTCGCTCTACAGCGATTTCCCTGGAATGAATAAACGTCGTCAAGCGAGGCACCACTGTAGAGTGTTGCACTTCGCTGCTTTGAATTGTTTTTTGGGTTGATTTTGTTTACCATCTTTTAGTGTGGCATTTGTTTTGGTTTTTCTTAAATATTTGTATACTTGCTGGTTTTAGTTTTTACATACTGTTTCTTTAATGATGTAAGCCTCCTTGGGTCCTTTTTATGGAGAAAGGTAAGGTAAAATATTTTAAATGAATAAATTTGGTTTGTGCAGGCCATCCAAACCAAAATTGTAAAGTTGTACTGTATCAAATGATGGTTTTACTCCTTGGAAAGCTTGCGAAAACAGTAATTTTGGCAGGTTGCAAACTGAATGTTTTTTTTCCCCTATTTTCCAAATGATGGTTATGTATAAATCAGTGAGATACTGAAGTATTTTTTAATATATTAAAGTTATCATTTTTATTGGTGTAGAATATGTTTTTATGTACTAGCCAAATAAGGCATGAATTTAATACTTTATAACTTTTCTCTGTTTTAATTATTCTGCTTACAGATAAAAATTTCTCACTGGAAAGAGAGTTAAAGTTTCTTGAAGAGAAATTGAACAAGCAGGAAGATCCTCTTACTCTAGAAAAAATGAAACTTACTATTTCTGACTTGGAAAATGAACAAGATTCTCTTTGGCAGCTCCTGAGGCAGAAAGACAACATCATTGAAGAGCTCAGTGTAAAACTGGAAGACCTGAAAAAGTTGCAGAACATTCTTGTAGAATGTGGAGAACTTAAAAAACAGATTGAGAGTCTTTCCCAGTGGAAAAAAGAGAGTGAACAACTCTTGAACAAACATGGTTTAGAAAAGGAAAGACTGATGAGCAAAATTAGCAGCCTGGAAAGTGCTTTGATGACTGAACAGCTTAAAAGTCATGACCAAATAAGAGTTCTGGATGGTGAAAATAAAAGCCTTAGTGTGGAGGTGAAAAATCTCAAATGTACAGTGGAAGACAAAACAGCAGAACTAGAGGCACAAAGAAAAGTCCATAATGACCTTCAGCAAGAAGCAGCAGCATCTGAGGCCAAACATAGGAAAGAGAGAGAAAACAATTTGCTGAAGTTAGCTGAGATCTCCCAGCATGTGGTTGTCTTACAGAAACAGCTTCAGTTGGCCGAAAATGAAGCATTAGAAAAAGGCAAATGTATTGCCTCTCTCGAAACATCCTTAGCTTCCCAAGTACAGTTAAATGAGCACTTTCAGAAACAGTCTGAAGAACTAGCCCAAGCCAGAGATGAGATGGAAAGAAAATTGGCTGAAGTCGAGCAGAGAGAGAAAGATTTTGCTCAGGGAGCGGGACAGCAGATTAATAAATTACAAGCTGCTGTTTTTGAAAAACAGGAGATGCTTGCTGAAGCACTGGCTGCTCTTGAGGAAAAAGATGAGAAACTGCAAGCGCTGATGAAACAGTTAAACAGGCAAAAAGCACAGACTCGTGCCGTGTGTGAGGATTCTGCTCAGCAGCTCAGCGCTATGCCTCAATCAACAGGTCAACATTCCAACCTTAAGAGTCCTGTTGGTAGTTTAGAACAAAAAAGCCTGGACTTAATGCAGAAAACCCTGTGTCTTTCCGGTAGCTTGAAAGAAAGAGAAGAGGAGCATGGAGGAAATGCCTTATTACTCTTGGACACCAAAGAAGAGTTGGAAAGGGAATGTATGTCACTGGAAGCAAAGGAGGAACATTCAGAATGTGCTTTAAAGGATCAAGCTTGCTATTCTGAAGTGGAAAAAGCCACATTTGAAACGCCAGACAGACAGTTGATGAGCAAACATGAGGTACTACGGGCTGTGTCTTTGGAGGGAAAAAATAGCATTTTGCTTTATAATCCTGAAAAACATCAAAGTGTACCTGAAGAAGCTAAGATTTTGGAACAGGAGGGGTCAGCATATAATAAAATGCAGCATTGTGACCTTATCTTGATGGAAGAGGATGGGCAACTGGTCAAGGAAATGAAAAGAGGAAATGAGTATGCACTAAGTGACTTTCCATTAGATAAAGTTGTCCTGCAACAGCTGAAAGTATCAGTAAAAGAAAAAGAGGATGAACTGAACAAATACCAAGTGAAGCTTGAGATGCTTCAAATGGATCTTGAAGATAAAGAAGCCTCTGTAGAAGATTATTGTGAGGAAATAAAGCAGCTAAAGACTGTACTGAGAACTGTGGAAATTAAAATGGAAGAAAGTGAAAATGAAAATGAGAGATTGAAACTTGAACTGCAAGATCTTAAAAATCTGGAAAGTTCAGCTCTAGGAATGACAAATGAAGATGGGAAGAACCAATTATCAGTCTGTTTTAGCATGTTTACTAAGGACATCCTTAACCAACAAGCAGATGCCAAGCATGCATCAATTTCTCCTGATCTGATGCTTAGCCAAAATGATTATGACCAACTGGTATATTCCTTACACATAATGCTGAGCAAGCTAAATGAGTTGGAGAAAATGTGTGAACACCTGCAGGTAGAAAAATCAAGATTAGCATCAGGGCTGAAAGACTTGCATTTGGAAGGCGTGAGGAACACAGATACTGTGACACAAGAACTCATATACAAAATGAATAACTTAAAAGAACAGAGAGCTACTTCTTCTGATGAAAAAATTAATCAGAATAGAATGGGCGTAGAATGTTGTGATGTACTTAACTATGAAGATTTGAAATTATTCACTCAAGAAATCAAAATACTCTTTGATAAAGTCAAGGAAACAGCCGTGTCTGTGAAAAATGAATATGAAATCTCCTGTGGGGAGAACTTGAGAATCAGCTCCAACATATCAGAGCTTCAGTGTTATGTTGAAAGGCTTAAAGAAAACAATATGGCTGCAGGCTTCATTGAAGTTGATACAACATCATTCACAAGTGAAGTGATTCCAGGACCAGTGGATCAAGAATGTCAGACAGAGGGAGAGTTCTGTGTGGGATTTCCATCCTGGAGTGAAACCAGAAATTGTACAAAAGCAGTTCCTTCAGAGGTCAACTTTGATGTCGAAGTGTGCACACCATCAAGCAAAACGGACGGAGGAAATAGTAACAGACAAGCTACAGTAGAATGTACAACTAACCAGCACGGCCAATCTTTTGTGGAGGATGCTGCAGGTGTGTCTGCCGTCAAGCAGGAATGCATTGTAGCTAAAAGACATGATCTAAAAAAGACTGTTGAACGCTTGCTGTGTGAGACTCATGGAAAGTCCTCCAAAATGCCTGAAGAATCCTTCAGGTCTTATAAAAATCTGGAAGATGAAGAGATAAAAAAGATTCAAGAAATGCTCCTTTGCACAAGGAAGGAAATAGATGGCCTCCAAACTGTATTTGATAAGCAACAGTGGCAACAAAAACTAAATAATGTAGTCCTGCAGGTGGCATCTAATATGAAAGCTGAGAAGAAGCACCCTGAGAAAGCAGAAGGGCACCTACCAGGCCTTGCTTTAAGTTCCACGGCTCTGCTCTCTGTTAACACTGAACAAGTAAGTGTCTAAGTTCCCTGTGCTGGAGCAGTTACACTTGGGTTATGAACTGCATTGCCCAGGGTTATAGTAAGGAGGGCAAAAGGCTTTTCCACACTCTGCAAATGCCTTATACAGTGGGGTCTCGACTTACGAACGTAATCCGTATTGGAAGGTGGTTCGTAGGTCGAATCTGCATTTCCCATAGGAATGCATTGAAAACCATTTAATCCGTATCTGCTCTTTTCCGTACATAGAAACTAATGGGAAGCTGCTATTCCGCCTTCTGCCACTAGAGGGGGATATTTTTTCTTTTTTTTCCCTTAGGTTCAGGAAAGGGAGGAAGGCAGGGAACAGTTTGCAAAGCACTTTTGAAATCTTTTTTTCCAACGAAGCCAATTTTAAAGCATGTTGTGCTGATTTTTTCAGCACACAGGCAGGCTTTTTAGGTGCTGAGCAAGCCTCCCCAAGCCTCTTTTGAACCAGCCGATCAGCTGATAGGCAGGGAGAGGAGGGTGCAGGAGAGGGAGAAAAGCACAAAATGGCTGCCAGGCTCCTGCTGGGTGTCGGCTTTTAGCTGTTTTTGTTTTGTTTTGTTTTTTGAACTTATATACCGCCCCATAGCACTACAAGCACTCTCCGGGCGGTTTACAATTTAATTATACAGGCTACACATTGCCCCCCCAGCAAGCTGGGTACTCATTTTACCGACCTCGGAAGGATAGAAGGCTGAGTCAACCTTGAGCCGGCTACCGGGGATTTGAACCCCAGGTCGTGAGCACAGTTTTAGCTGCCGTACAGCGTTTTAACCACTGCGCCACGAGGCTCTTTTTCCTGATATTTTTCCTGCTGTTTGGGGGCTACCAAGGCCTGGTAAGTGACTTTCTTTTATTTATTTTTAAGTTTCTGACCTTTTTTTCCCCTCCAGAAACCTCTAAGGGGAGGGAGGGGACACTTTTTTTCCTGTTCGTAACTTGAGGGAAGTTCGTATGTCGAGTCCTTATTTCCCTATAGGGTGGGTTCGTAAGTTGAATTGTTCGCAAGTAGGGTCGTTCGTAAGTCGAGATCCCACTGTAGTGACATACCTATGTTGGGGGGAAAAATCATTTTTGGTATGTTTAAGGAGCTGCCGATGTGCCATGGGTGCCAGTCTTTTGTAAGGGGAGAGGAGCTTTGTTTGGAAGCAAAGGAGGCTGCTGGTAGAAAAGCATCTGCCCCTGGCAAAAGCTTTTTAGGCAGCCTGTTGGATTGGGGCCATGTGCCTTAACAAAAGAAGGGTGGGCGGAACACGATGTGTACCCTGCGAAGGCCACCCCCTGTAGTCCCAGGGTCATCACAGCTGTCCCAGCCATTCATATCCTGTCTCTTAGAAAGACCCTTTCTGGTCTTTCTTGAAAAACAGAGGAGGATGGAAATGCAGACTATTTCCTTGAAGAAGAAAAATAGATGGCGTCATGAAGCAGATGATTTCTGGGAGTTAGGGGTTTAGGGTTATATAAATCTTGGTGCTCCAATTTCTAGGGGGTTACACCATTCTTGGTGCTCAATTTTTTTGTGGTGACTTGGGGGCATCGGGGCTGCAGCTGTTGGAGGCCCAGAGAGGAGCGTGGCCCTTGTTCGCAAGTAGGGTCGTTCGTAAGTCGAGATCCCACTGTAGTGACATACCTATGTTGGGGGGAAAAATCATTTTTGGTATGTTTAAGGAGCTGCCCATGTGCCATGGGTGCCAGTCTTTTGTAAGGGGAGAGGAGCTTTGTTTGGAAGCAAAGGAGGCTGCTGGTAGAAAAGCATCTGCCCCTGGCAAAAGCTTTTTAGGCAGCCTGTTGGATTGGGGCCATGTGCCTTAACAAAAGAAGGGTGGGCGGAACACGATGTGTACCCTGCGAAGGCCACCCCCTGTAGTCCCAGGGTCATCACAGCTGTCCCAGCCATTCATATCCTGTCTCTTAAAAAGACCCTTTCTGGTCTTTCTTGAAAAACAGAGGAGGATGGAAATGCAGACTGTTTCCTTGAAGAGAAAAAATAGATGGCGTCATGAAGCAGATGATTTCTGGGATTAGGGTTAGGGTTATATAAATCTTGGTGCTCCAATTTCTAGGGGGTTACACCATTCTTGGTGCTCAATTTTTTTGTGGTGACTTGGGGGCATCGGGGCTGCAGCTGTTGGAGGCCCAGAGAGGAGCGTGGCCCCTAGGTCCACAGATTTTGCCCACCTCTCTTCTAAAAGGCATTTCCCTCATAACTCCCATCGAAGCTATTTTGATAATGTCTAAAATTCTGTTGCTTATCATAATGCCAATGCACTAGAATAGGCCCACTGAATGCGCCGGGCATTTCATCTCGGCAACGACTGCACAAATCCATTGCACAATGGGTTGGTGCCCGTGTACTGACAGAAGTGCTTCATGAATAGTGCTTCCGCCTGGGTTCAATGGTAGCTACCATGCGCATAACACAGTGATGTCCAAATAGCTACTACAGTAGGTCTCCCCTGCCCATGGGTTCAGTATCTACTGATTCACTTAACCGCTGGCTGGAAATACTAAATTTAAAAAAACAAGAAATTCTTATTTATATGTATTTCCAGTTTATTTGCCAAAATTGGCCACTGGAGGAAATCAGATACCATGCAGAGTATAGTGTTTGATACTTGCACATTTTTCAGCATCCTTGGGGGTCTTGGAACCAAACACACACCCCCAATTGATACTGCAGTCCTATGTAATAAGATTTCAACCTATGGCTTACCTGAGCCTAAGTTCAGGTAAGGCATTCTATCATCGCCATCAGAGAGAAGGCTGTGGCCCTTTTTATCGACTTATGTAAAGTATCTCATTATAGGCATCTATTTTTGTTAGCTTTACTAGAGTCTAATATTTATTACCTAACATCTCTAATTGGATTTCACTTTTTTTAAAAAAAGGACTCTCTCATATCTATTTTTAGCAAGCGTGGATTAGTGCTGAGCAAGCAGTGGATCCCTTGTGGCCATTGGAAATAAGTGCTTTGCCTAATGAAAGCATGGTCGTTGAAGCTGCGAGTGATGAAATGATAACAAAAAGCTATCAAGTAAACAGAACAGAAGACGAGACAACTACTTATGAAGCAAATCTCAGTATAAAATCTCCAGAAAAATTGGTTTTGGACATAGAATCCAGAAAAGTAGTGGATGAATGCACATTTCCTACCAATTATCCCGAGTTATTATTTCCTTCAAATCCCAGCATGGGCACAGTGGGTGTGAGCTTCTTGGAAAACAGTGGGACCACTGCAGTGCCTCATCAACAAATTGAGCAGGCTAGTCATCAAAAGTCTGAGTCTTCCCAGGATGTGGAAGAAGCCAGCAGGAGAACTGATACTCTGTTAATGGAGATTCAATATTTAAAGTCACATTTGGAGTCAAAGGACAAAGAGTTGTCTGAAAAAATAATTACTTGTGTAGAGTTGGACAAAACAACTAGGGTGCTTGAACAAGAAAAGGCAGACTTAAGTGAGGCACTTAAATCTGTTACTTTTGATAACCAGCAATTATCTTATAATCTTATGACTCTTGGGATAGAACTTAACAAGGTTAAATCTGATTTGGAAATGTATAAGCTTAGACTGTCTGATACAATGGATACACTAGAAGATTTAGAAATGACCAAGGTAGACTGGACTGAGAGGCTCCTTGAAACAGAGAATGAACTGAGGAGGATAAAGTCTGAGAAAACTAACGTTGAGAACCACGCTCTCTCCATGGAGGCTGATGTTGAAGAGCTTCACTTAAAGAATGAGCAGTTAGAAAGAGAAAATGAAAATAAGCTGAAAACTGTTTTAGGCCTTCAAGAGCAGCTTCAGATAATCACAACTGAAAGAAACCAATTTACGCAAGATCTGAGGGATTTGTCAAAGGATAAAGAAGAATTGGATCAAATGTGCCAAAAAATGCAAGAGACTATAAAAGAGCTGGAGTCACGTCAGGTGGATTCTGCTGAGTTTATCAGGATATTAGAAGCTGAAGCTAAGACCCAGACAAAATTGCTTCAGGCCATGAAGACCGACACTGATCTGTTATCAGCAGAAAAAGACTGCCTCATGGGGCAGCTAGAGAATTTGGATAAGCTCGTGAGGGATCTTGCACTAGAAAAAGAGGCAGCAGAAAGCCAAATAAAGTACCTGAAAGAGGAAAGAGAAGCAGACCTTCGGCAGTACGAAACGTTGCACAGCAAGCTGAGTATCTCTGAAATGGAAAACAGCAAGATAACCAAGTCTTTAGAAGGATCACTAATAGAGAAGGGAGAACTTGCAGCTAGACTGAATTCTGCCCAGGAAGAAGTGGATCAGCTGCGACAGGGTATTGAGAAACTGAAAACAAAAATAGAATCTGACGAAAGGCATAAGCGTCAACTGGCTGAAAAGCTGCGAGAGAGTAGGCGGAAGGCAGACTGTCTTGTAGACAGAATCCAGAACCTTCAAAGAGAATTGGAGATGACAGAAGAGAACCTAGAAGATGCCATTCTTCAGGCAGAGGTGGCTAAAGCAGAGACTGAAAGAGTGAACTCCGAGGTGGACCACATGCGTGCGGTTTTGCAAAGTGTAGAATTTGAAAGGGATGCCTTAAAGTCGGCAAAACAGTGTCTAGAGAGACAACTCATGGGAGAGCAAGACAAAGTGGCCAGTTTAGAAGGTGGTCATTCTATACTTGTGAAACAATTGGAAGATAAGGAGAAGGAAAACACAGAACTTCGAGGCAAATATGAAAACGCAGTGATAGCAATGGAATCCCAGTTGAACCAGGTGCATGAACAGGCTGAGCAGTCCCTTAAGAAGCAAAACATTTGCAAGGGAAAAGAACAGGATTTCATCAATCAAGTAACTTCTCTCAAATATGAGAATATGTCCTTGGGTCATCAGCTGGAGGAGGCAGATCACAAGGATTCTGAAATTGAACAACCGATAGAAGCCCTCATCCAGGAATGCCAAGTTTTCATACAAAGATTAGAGGAAAATGCTTCCCTTCTTGAGCCTTTACCAAAAAATGAAATTTCTCAGGCTCTTTTTGAGGAGCCTTTTGAACATCGTGAGGAGGAGTTGGAAGCTACGACATCTGAAAAATATGCCTACCTTGGGAAGGTAATATATGGCTTCTTGTATGACATGAGTGGAATATCTTGTAGGATGTTCTGTATGAAATGAGAGGCTGTTTGGTGCTTATTGCAGGAATTCAGTAATAACTAGACTAAATTTGGGGGACTGTGTAGATACAGTGCTGACAAGCAGAAAGTATACACAAGGAACTATAGTTTTGGGTCCACCACCAATCCTTCTCCTTTAAAGACAGGCAGACAAGATGATATTTAAAGTTACATTTATGTCCCAGCTGCAGTATGTCCTCATAAACACAAAATAGTTTATATATAAAGTGGAGTTTCTTTATAAGTACCCTCACTAAAAACAGTGAGGTTTATTCTTAGGCGAGTTGCATAGGATTGTAGTACTAGTCCTGTCTTCACTAATTCAGCCCTCTCTAGATATGCAGAACTTCAATATCTATCCTTCCTGGCTGGCAATCATAAGAGGTTGAATTCAGCACATCTGACAGGCATCAGGTTGAGGTAGGTGGACCTCGTTGTTAAACAAGCTGTTCCTGTGTCTTCAAAAAATTTTTACTGTTTTTGACTTTTTGATTAGACAGTCAAGGGCAGCCTTGGGCACACTCCATTTATTAGCAGAAATATTTTTATTAAGAAAGGGGAATTAGCTAGAAACTTTACTTAGCAAAGTCTAGTACAAGGTAGTACAGGTACCTCTCTCTTACAAATGCTTGCTTTGGAATCCCTCCCTCACAATTTGAGCAGGGTCTCAGTGGAAGACCGTAGACCGACTGGCCCCAAAAGAGGTGCTCCTGTAAAGTATTTTGGCCCCCTTTAAAGGAAAATTCCAATACTTGATTTGGGCCCAAGTAATCGATGCAGTTCATTTTCTTATACAAGACCATGTACACTGTGGTAACAGTATTCTTTTTAAAATAATGGTGTGTGTGTGGTTTTTTTTTTCAGATAGAACATTTAAAAAAAGAATGTAACATCTTTTATTGTAAATACCAACAATGGTTAAAAACCTTCGGGCAGCTAAAGCAGGAAAACAAACTGATGAGGAAACAGATTGAAGAACTTGAGGGTCAGCTGAAGAGCTTGGATCCAGGTACGTAGTGCTTACATTTTAAAAGGCAACCATCACTTTCTTCCATGAGTCTCTACAGCTGCCATAGCAGTGCTAAAAACCACTTGATGCTTATTTTAACTGTAAAACAAAGGCATGTAAGATTTCTGTAAGGACATTTAAGTATCAACACTAGAGATGGGGGTATTTGTATATGAATATCGCTGCGCAGCGGGACTTAACGAGGGTCTGCCCCCCCGAGGGCTGGACCATTCACTCACGCATTCTGCTGCGGCGATGGTCCCGCTCCTCCTTCCAGACATGGAGAGGGAGGATTTTAACTGTAAAACAAAGGCATGTAAGATTTCTGTAAGGACATTTAAGTATCAACACTAGAGATGGGGGTATTTGTATATGAATATCGCTGCGCAGCGGGACTTAACGAGGGTCTGCCCCCCCGAGGGCTGGACCATTCACTCACGCATTCTGCTGCGGCGATGGTCCCGCTCCTCCTTCCAGACATGGAGAGGGAGGATAAGTCTTCCTCCCCCCCCCCCCCCGAGGGCTGGACCATTCACTCATGCATTCTGCTGCGGTGACGGTCCCGCTCCTCCTTCCAGACAGGGAGAGGGAGGATAAGTCTTCCTGCATGGCTGCCAAGTGGCCAGCCGAGTGGGAAGAGAGCGGTGCTCTGGGCGTGATTGGAAAGATGAGTGGGGCCACCTCTGCAGCAGGACACATGAGTGGACGGTCCCCAGGGGCTGGACCCTCGTTAAGTCTGGAGGTGCAGGGTTATTTAAATAGGAATACCTCCATCTCTTATCAACACCATAGTGGGGTGGGCAACTCCCCAGGCCAACTGTGGGCCACGCTTCTTTACCCCCACCCCCCAAAAAATTGCCAAGCAGTGGTACTTCGGGGCAGGGATGGGGACTCACACATGGCTGTCATGTCAGACTCAGTTGTGTGTGTGTGTTTTTTTTAAATGACATGTTACTTCACTTCCAACTCAGAATCCACCCACCCCTTCCCTTTTTTTCTAGGGAAAAAAGCTTGTTTTTAATTGGGTCTCGGACTTGGGACATGGTACCAAAGACTCAGACCCAAAGACTTGCCAACATCCCCATTTTGGGGTACCAGAAAACATTGAAACATGTTATCTCTCTCTCTCTCTCTCTCTCTCTCTCTCTCTCTCTCTCTCACACACACACACACACACACACACACACACACACACACACACACACATTTCTTTCTGGAAGGGGTAGGAAGGAAAACTATCCTAATATAGGGGTGCTGAATTTTGGCAGTAGGCCGCTGGTAGTTGATGGGAACAGGAGAAACTAGGAAACATCTGGAGCAACTCCACATACTGCCTGCCCCTGCTCTATAGCGATGAGTACCAAGCCTGTATTATCTCAGTGTGGCCACCTATCATGCTACAGTACTGTACTTGCTTTCTCAGCAACAGCAGAAAGAGGAAGTGCGTCTCATTTTGCATATGAAGATTCAGAAGGATTTTAAAGCAACATTATATTATGTAAGGCCACTTAAGGTAAGATGGTGTGGCTTTAACATCTGACCAAGATTATTTTGGCAACTTTGGAGAATTCTTGTTTTCGCTTTACCAGCCTCCAGTTCTCCTGCGGCCAGCCTGAGAAAGAAATCTGCTGAACTCAAAAGCTAGCCTGTATCTGTTTCTGAGATTTTAGTGGTCTAATGAAACTGTCATCCACTCTTGCTTTTGTCTTTTGGAATTGTTATATGCTTACTAAAGCATGTTTATTTCACCAAATGCCAATAGGTGTTGCCTGCAAATTAAAACTTAAAACAAATCAAAACAATGCAATGTGCTGTATAGTTCAGTATGTCAGACACAGGGGAAAATAGCAGTCAAGAGGCAGACAAGCAGCAACTCATTTCCAAAGCATTGGATATCAGGCCATGGTAAACATACTATAGCATTCTCCATTTATTAGATCTATGGTTCTTGTTGTTATGTAATGGAATGGTTCATGCATATTAATGTTGCTTAGAGGCGGAGCCGAGAGAGATGCTATAAGAGGCGGAGCCTGAGTCAGTCAGTGGGTAGTCAGTAAGAGAAATGTAAAAGTCAGGCAGTAGAGATTAAGTCAGTAAGAATCAGAGAGAGTAATAGAGTGTGTAGTTTGGGAAATTTAGGTGTGATTAGCTACTGAAGATATTTATGAATGTAATCAATAAACCAAAGTTTTATTTAAAAGAACTTGAAGAGTGGACCTGCATCTTTCTGAGGTAATGGTGATTTAGGGATCACCTGGTGGCAGCACTGTTAAAGAGGAGAGTGTTTGCCTTCGTGTGCTCTGAGGCTTGAAGGTCAAGCAAAAGGGGCACGAGGGTGGATACCACACATAACACTGGTAGAATGTGAAATCTGCCTGAGTCACAGGAATTTCATAAACAATTTGATTTTAATCTCTAAGTATTACCGCATTTTAATGTCCATCAAACTCAGTGTTAATGATTACTATAACCCAATGCTTACAACTATATGAGTGGGGGGAAGTAGACCTTTGTTCTAGGTAGAGCGCTTGGGGGAATATAGGACCCAGAATTTAAGGATCACCTGAAAACTAGGAGTAATGAAATAAGAATTTCAGGTGAGGGGGCACTGGGGGGGTTTCCATAACCTTGATGACCTGGCCAAAAATGCTTTAGCTTACTTGGTCAGTATGCTACAGAGCAGGAAAACCCAGAGCAGGGATCAAGGCATTTCTTAATGTAGATGACAAGTACAGAAAATCCTTTTTGTTATCCTCTATTCTGTGGAAAGGACTTTACAAATGTTTTGTCGTCCCACTTGGGCATTTGCTCAGATGTTTAGCTTTGATGCTCTTCATTTTTAGTAATCGTGTCGTTTTTGTTTCTGAGACTTCAACAAGTAGCAACAACCTTTCTTTGCGTTGTGCAGGTTCTCAAGAGGATGCTGTTGCAGACGAGATGGAAGAGTTGAGGGAATCAGCTGAAGCAAAAAACACAGAGGCAGATCATACCCTGGAGAAGTACTGTGCCCTGATCATTAATCACCATAAATTAGAGGAAGAAAATGAGATGCTAAGAACACAAGTCTTTCTTCTGAACAGTCGCCTGAAGCAGTCATCAGATGCCTCCGGTTCTCCTGACCAGAGCCCCACAAAAATTGCCAGCAGGCTGCCTACAGAAAAAGCGTCTCCTGAAAATAGTACGACAGTTGCTGGAAAGTGGCAACAGTGCCAGGCAAACAGAAGCAACGGCAAAAAGTCAAGATCTTTACAAGAGACGGTCACAGTAATGAGGACTGTTTTCCAACAGCATGGCTCAGTAGGGCCCAAAGACAGCGCAAAGCAGGATGAGGGAATGAGGGAAAATGGTAAATATGTTTAAAATAGCCTTGGCTTTTGTTTAGTGGTAGCTCATGCTGTTATTGTTGCACTTCTGAATAGAATTGTCTTCGGACTGGGATGTCGCCAGTAACTGATGCTGATGGTAGAACAGAGGACACTGCTGGGGCAAGGAATATAAAATGTTGCTTAAATACAATTTGAAGGGGTAAACGGAGGAGGGAGCTAACTTTTTTAAAAAAAATCATAGCCTTATCCTGCATGTTAGGGGTTCCCAAACTGGGCGCCGCCACATCAAGCCAGAGGCACCATGGGGGGGGAAAGGAGGGAACATGGAGCTATGAAGGCTATAGAGCAACTGTTCTATGTCAAACAGGACCCAGAAGTGGAAGCCATGTGCCCCATCCTTGCCCCATCTTTATGGTCCCCAGTGGAGTTGCTTGCCAGGTGGCCTCGTGAGTTTCTCACATCAGGTCCTAGAAGGAAGTCGGCCCTTGGGGATGTTTGTCAGAAGGGGATGGGATGGGGGTGCTGCCAAGATCCTGCCTCTGGTGGCAGGGAGACCCTTGATGGCCCCTCCGAGCAAGGGGAGTCACAGCCAGTGGCCAGTAAATCAAGGGAGCAGTACGATTGGAAACCACTGTATGGTCACACCCAAGACAGTCCCGCCTACCTAAGTGATTGTGCATATGATTTCAGCATCAGTAGGTTTTGTTTGCATGGATACAGAGAGTCAGTAGAAGCAATGGAGATAGTTGTACTCGGGTTCTACCAGATTGTCTTTTATTTGGTTTGTGTTTTCTAGCCAGTGATGTTAACAGCTGTGAATTGTCTGGCTGGGCACGTGGTTCTTTGGAAGACCTGGAGAGTGGGAAATGGGGCAGAAAGGGGGTCCCTGACGCCCTCTGTAAATGCCCCTTTACCCTAATTAAAGCTTTTAAAAGGAAAGACTAGAAATGAATGCATTGTTGCAAAACTCTATAATGAAAAGAGTATAATATACATAACTACATTGTGCGCCCAGACTGCTTCCCCCTATAATGTACATGAAGGAAAACGTTCTTGTTCTTTCGTTCACCTTCTCGGTAACAATCGGCTTGTGTAGTCACCACTAACAGGTATGGACAGCAACATGCGCTGAGCCCAGTCTTTTGAGGGCAAAGTGGCCACTGTAGCTTGTAACTGACAAATCCTTTACTGCTGATGATCTCACAGGAGTATATTATGAGACAAATCTTGAGTGAAAGTTCATTTTCCATGGAGGTTTAATCCAGGGATTCCTTAGTCATAGTCAGGACTGCAGGCTCAGTGCTATGGCATATGTCAGAAAAACAGACAACTTAAGAAATAATACTTATTTTTCAAAAAAGATTCTGTCAGTATGGAAGAATGAGAAAAGCATTTCACCCATTGTTCAAGAAGTGACAAGCAGTCATATTTATAAAGGTTTCTTTTTCAAAGGAGGAGGAATCACTAAACAGATAAAACACATTATAAATAGAAATTTATTTTGGGGGGGATTAACTTAACATTTTGTATAAGAATATAAATGAATTAGGTGGTGATCACTAAATTTCTCTCCCAATGTTCTCCAATATTTTTGCAGGAAGCAGCAGTCCTTATTTTTCCCATTTAGCATTTCCAAAGACGATTCCCTGTGTTGTCAACCTGAGCATGAGATCACCATCGTTTCCAATTGAGAAAGATGACATGCATGAGAATCTTAAAGCAACAGCAGAGGGCAGCAAAATACAAAAGGTAAGTGGTATTATTGAACTCTTCAATGTGAGAGCTTGAGATGCTCACAGAAACTGGAAACACTTTCTTTTTCTTTTTACTACAATTCCCAATACTCCCTTCCAGCCAGCATGTCTATTGGGGATTCCTGGGAGTTACAGTTGAAGGAAAATTTCTGGTGTCTCTGAAATTCATGTTGTAGATTTTGTCTTTCCAAGCGCTTGTGCGAGGCAATTGCTGTGCAACTTTTAAACATTTCAGTAAGAAGACAGAAAAAGATGAGGTTCAGTAACTTTTGGCAACAGTAATTAAAGGTAGAAGAGCCCCCTTGTTCTACCCAGTGATTCACTTGAAGAGATGTTTGCCTTTCAGATTAGTTATATCTTGCTCTGAACACATGTTCAGGTAGTTTTATTCCTTTAAAGCCCTAAGCATAGAACTCAGTACATCAAGTCTATTCTAGCTTTGTCCTATTGAAAAACATCAAGTGATCACCATTAAAACTGGCATCAAGTCTATTCTAGCTTTGTCCTATTGGAAACAAGTGCTCACCATTAAAACTGGAAAAAATATTCAACACTGCCCGTGTTGGGTAGGTAGTGCTGCCTGAAGAATGCATTTAAAAGCATTATGTTAAACCACATGCGGGGAACTTGTGATTATCCATGTATTGTTGAACTTAGCAGCCTAGCCAGATATGAGGAACGATATGTCTTACAGCCCAGCAAGATCCTGGAGGATCACATCCTTATTTCTGTATTACAGAAAAATATCCAATCAACAATGGCACTAGATGCCTAAAACAAATTTCCTGCCTGCCCATTTCTTCTTTCACTGAGTATTTCACATGCAGATGGTTTCTCCAATTGGAACTACATGTTCCAGCTTAAAGATAAAGATATGTGTGAGCGGTACCAAACTAATGGTTGGTATTCTCAGTTCTGATCACTATGATTACTTGTCCTTTAGGGGCCATCCATGTGCTCTACTTATCCAATAATGATAATTAGCACTTTGGTTTTTTAAAAATACTTATTTGCCAAATTTATGTCCTGCCTTTCTGCCAAAAAAAAAAGAACCCTCACAGTGGCCAGTGACAGTGAAAATAAAAACAAATGCAACTAAAACAAAAACAAATCTGAGACAAAACATATCAATTGTTTCATAGATATATACACCGCTGACTTACTATGTTTACAAAGCACTTTACAAAGATGAACAATAACCCTGACTGCTGAGAAAGGTGGGGTAAAGTATTTTTAGTTAATACTATGTTTACAAAGCACTTTACAAAGATAAAATAAACAATAAACCCGGCTGCTGAGAAAGGTGGGGTAAAATATTTTTTGTTAATTACAGTGGACCCTTGACTTACGGAATTAATCCGTATTGGAATGGTGGCCGCAGGTCGAAAATTCCGTAGGTCGAGGGTCTATTTCCCATAGGAATGCACTGAAAACCATTTAATCCATTCCAGGCAAAGAAAAAAATCCCGGGCTTCCAAAGCTGCACCAGCTGCCCTCTGTCTCCAGTCTCTGGTGCCTCTGCCTTCTGTGTGGACAGAAGGCAGAGGGCACTGGGGACAGGAGACAGAGGGCAACGGGTGCAGCTTTGGAAGCCAAAAGCCGCTCCGTGCCCGCTGCCGGCTTTTGGCTTCTCAGGTTTCAAAACCCCCTCCGCTGCCATGTTTCCCGTCCCCTGTGCCCTTGTTGCATCTTGTCTTGATAGACCAGGAGTATACAACACGTGGATTTTGGTTACAGAGATAATGAACTATGACATAATAACAATGACCATGTGCTGTCAAGTCAATTCTGACTTATGGCAGCCCTTTCCAGAGTTTTTCAGGTGCAGAATATTCAGAAGCAGTTTGCCATTTCCTTCTTTTGGGGGCGTCCTGAGACTGTGCAGATTGCCTAAGCCCACATGGGGTGCCCAGGAGACACAATGGAGAATCAGACTCCCAAGCTATGGCTCCACAGCCACAGACCAAAATCACTAAGCTATGTGTGTTCCAAATAGGTGGGGGGGGGGAATCTGATCAGTTACATTTTGAATGCCAAATGATCCATTTGTAGCATTTCCCTAATCAAGATGTTATACAGTGGTGCCTCACAAGACGATGTTAATCCGTTCCGTAGAAATCGCTGTCTTGCGAAAACATCGTCTTGCAAAACCAAATTTCCCATAGGAATGCATTGAAAATTAATGAATGCGTTCCTAGGGGGATTTTTTTTAAAAAAGGAACTTAAAGGGTAGGGAGTTGGGGATGTACCATGAGAGGACTGGTCCCCTCGCTGCGATCACCAGCTTTGGAGGTCCCCGCCAGTCCTCTGATGGTGCAGAAAAAGCCTCCAAAGTGCTCTAAAGTGGGCATGGGTGGTTTTGGGGCACCCCCGCCAGGGTTCTGATGGCTTCTCTTGCACCACCAGAGTCCTGGCGCGGGTGTCCCAAAACCACCTGCGCCCACTTTAGAGGACTTCGGAGGCTTTTCCTGATGGTTCAGGAAAAAGCCTCCAAAGTGCTCTAAAGCGGGCGCGGGTGGTCGTAGAGCGAAAAAGCCCCATTGGAACCATCGTAAAGTGATTTCGTTGTCAAGCGGGGTAACCGTCTAGCAAGGCACCACTGTATCAGGAAGATCTAAATGTGCTTCTAGTAGCCGCACAACCAAGAGAAAGATTTCCCCCAGAGATGCTGAAATTCAGAGAATCTCATAAGAAAGAATGCTTCCAGTAAATTGCATAGCCTGGTATCAATGGGTGGATCTATGTTCTTAAGCAGACCAGTAGCCATTGTACGAAGAGCACCACATGCTGCCTGTGGTTGGCCTCAGTCAACAATTGGGCAGCAGTGCTCTGGACCAGCTGAAATTTAGAAGTGTTCCTCGAAAGCAGCCCACGAACAATATATTATGATTATCAAAACCAGTGAATTAAGGGTATGTGTAACCATGAGTGAATCTAGGAAAAAAACTGTATGCTTGGTTTAGCTCCATCAAAGATGAACCAGACATACTGCTATTCACCACCATCTGAACATCCAGGCTCACGTCAGTTTTCAGATCATGTACTGCTATCCACATATTTGTTAGTTACTTAGATGCACTACTGCACTGATTGATTGTCTCTGAATCAAGACAATAATGCATAACTATGTAAGGCAGAAACAGAAATCTCTTTGTTCTTTTTCGTGGCCTCTGTGAATGCACACATATGGGTATTGTCTGCGCCTGCGCTGACTCTCGGAA